CCTGGACGAGCCCTGAAAATCCAGCGCCTTCAATCTTCTCTATTGAAGAAGTTGGATCCAGTCATGTATTACTGTGGAATGAGACTAAACAGTATTGGACTAGTGGGGAGTGGACGGGAAAGATTTTTACCCTTGTTCCTGAAATTCAGACGAATCCTTATGTTACAAATATGACATATGTTTCGAACGAGAACGAGAGCTATCTTACTTACGCGTCTGCCATTCCTAATACTCTTACTAGATTTGTGCTTAATGCCTCTGGGCAGTATAATCAATTTGTATGGAGAAGTAATTTTGACGGGTGGAGACCGCTCTGGGCGCGACCAACACAACAATGTGAGGTTTATGCTTTCTGTGGACCTTAAAGTATCTGCGATCAGCAGCAAGAACCTCTTTGTGCTTGCTTGGAAGGATTTGAACCAAAAATGGCAAAGGGTTGGGAGCTGGGAGATCATACAGGTGGATGTGCGAGGAGAGTTCCTTTACAATGTGATGATGGAGAGAAGGATAAGTTTCTTGTGATGCCTAACATACGCATCACAGAGAGCGCAAAGTCTTTAGCAGTCGACACATTTGAAGACTGTGAATTCGCATGCTTGAGCAACTGTTCTTGCAACGCTTTTGCTTATGATAATGGGTGTTTGATCTGGGAAGCAGATATCTACAATCTAGAACAACTTGCATCTAATAGTATGACTGGAAGACATCTACATCTTCGAAGTGCGGCATCGGATTGGGTTGGAACGAGAGGTAAGGCAAAAAGAAACACCACTTTGATTGTTTGTACAACAATGGCAGCCTTCATTACTCTCTTTGCCCTTGTCCTGGTAATTCTGTGGAAGAGACGATCAGCCTCAGATGCTGGTTCATTTAAATCAGTGGAGGATTCTTTGGTGCTTTTCAAACACAGGGATTTAAGAAGCGCAACAAAGAACTTCTCCGAAAAACTTGGAGAGGGTGGTTTTGGTACTGTTTATAGAGGTACATTACCAAATTCAACCGCCATAGCTGTTAAGGAACACAAAAGTCTAAAGCAAAGTGAGAAGCAATTCCGCGCAGAAGTGCAGACTATAGGAATAATCCAACACATTAATCTTGTTCGCTTATGTGGATTTTGTGCTGAAGCTTCAAAAAGATTTCTAGTCTATGAATACATGCCTAACGGTTCTCTAGAATCACTTTTGTTTCGAAAGAGTCCCAAGATTCTAGACTGGCAGAGTAGATTTAGAATTGCCACTGGGACTGCTAGAGGACTGGCTTATCTACACGAGGAGTGCAGAGACTGTATCATACATTGTGATATCAAGCCTGAGAACATATTGTTGGATGCAGAATACAACCCAAAGGTGGCTGATTTTGGTCTTGCAAAGCTCTTTGGGAGAGATTTCAGCCGGGTTCTGACAACCATGAGAGGAACGAGAGGTTATCTAGCACCGGAATGGATCTCAGGTGAAGCTATCACAACGAAAGCTGATGTTTTTAGCTATGGAATGCTTCTTTTTGAGGTTATATCAGGAAGGAGAAACCTAGATCCCCTGTTAGACGAGGGGTTTGATGATTACTTTCCTCTGCGCGTCGCGAATACAATTTACCAAGGAAAAAATGTACTTACCTTGTTAGACGACAGGCTAGAAGGTAATGTCATTGTGGAAGAGCTGATTAGAGCTTGCAAAGTTGCTTGTTGGTGCATTCAAGATGATGAGAAGGATAGGCCGACTATGGGGCAAGTAATTGGAATTCTAGAGGGTCTCTTAGAAATGGGCATGCCTCCATTTACAAGGTTTTTCCAACTCCTTCAAGATGATCCAGCGAAATCCAGAGTTCACCCGGAGATTTCTTCTTCAGATTCAAGGGTATAGGTTGATGACTCAATTATCTTTCAATCTTAAAATATATCTAGAGTAATTTGGATGTTCAATTGCTAGTATTTTAGTTAGAAATATACTAAAGTTTTTTATTTTATTTCATTGGATGTTCAATAAAATAACAGATCCTCTTAACACTTTTGAGTTAGAAATATCAACATTGCATCATTAAAGTTTTTTATATTATTTTTTACCTTAGGAATGTGAACATAGTAAATTTACCCATGGTTGCCTTCTATTTCAATCGTTATAAGACAACAAATCATAATACACCAGAATATACATACCAGTAACTTGTTCTGTTCCCAAAGATATTTAACCCTCTTCCTTCACCTTTTCAATAAGCTTTTTGGCATCTTAAATTTTGGACTTCACTTTCAGGTCTTCCGCTGCCCCGTTGATATTTACAAACTACTTGTTCCCCACGCAAAGCCATATCAATTCATGAACCCATGATGATAACATGGCAAAGTTTGGTGGTGTTGTCTTTAATTATTCTTTTATGGCTGCAGAATTTTATTTAGAAGAATGTAATACGCATGAGCCCATACAAAATTAAGAGAAGATAGTGTAAATATCCAGGATGGATAATTGTAACACAAGATCCAATCAAAAGTATTGAGGCTTAGTGATTCAGTGAACTAAAACTCAAATATGGACGAGGTAAGAGTGTCAATGGGTTATACATGTAGATTTAGGATCCCTTTCCCAACCATTCGAGGAAGCCTTTGTAAAGAAAAAAAAAAGGGTTTGGACACATACAGCCAACTCAATAATCACACTTTTCTAAAATATACAAGATTTATTTACAGGACAAATCTAGCCGTCAAATTCAATGACTTGTCAATTATACTTTTAATGAAAAAACAAATGATATATTTTCAATATGTAACACTAGACTATGCTAGATTCGATAACCTAGATCAAACCTAGTATTTAACTATATGCTTAAATAGTTTAATTAAAACATACTAGGTGTTAACGCTTGATTTTGGACGCCAACGACTCGCACGTGAGAAGCACTAAGCGGACTTAGGAATCACACGTGATGGATCCATGAGATTTGAATATAGAGCTGAGATTATATATGTTGCATAAAACATAAATAATAGGCTAACAAGAGAGGTTTTTATAGTAGTTCAGATGCTCAAACAAGCGACTCCTATATCCACTGTTATTTTATTGATCTCTGACTATTTCTATGATATTGTCCCGTAAGACATACAAAGATGAAGAAATATAGTGTTTACAGAGACAAAGAATTGAGCTTGAATCTATGTTTTAGCTCTCATATACCCAGCCCCCCTCTTCGGGAAGAGGAGTGCCAATTTATACACCCTTGCACTCAAATATAATGAGTGTTTTGCAAGTTGCTTTAACACATGGAAGGCTCTCTTCCATTCATTTCTTGAAAGGAGATAGGGTTGATAAGAATATCTTTGAGAAGATATGAGCTTGGCAGCTAGTACAAAAAGACATTAAATGTGTTGACATAAGCGTGACTTTTAAGGTATAACACTAAGCTATGCTAAAAGGTGTTAGACTTGGTAATGTATTTGGACTATTTTTGTCTTAGTTATTTTCATAAAGAGCAATTAAGTTAAATTATGTGATTTTATGGTTACCTATATCTTTTAAAAAAAAAAACCTTAACTTTTTAGAAATTAAGATTATTAAACATGGTTATATAGGGGAATATTTTTAAAAGAAATAGTAGTTTAACTACTTTTTGGATTTAACTCGATTATTTTCAAAGTTTAAGTTTCTTTCAATGTATTTACTAGTTAGAGGGTGTTTGGATTATATAATGTTTTATTATAGGGAGATGTTATATTAACGGAAAAATAGATCACCTTGAAAATTACTAGGAATGTTTTGAAAATATGTTTGGTTAATTCGAATAAATTGGTAAATAATATGTTTGATTAGGAGGATAAATAGGTGGGTATGTTATATAGATTACTAAATTGCCTTCATTTTTAAATATTAACATAATACTATTTTTTTGAATCGTTTCTTTTAATCCTCTACATTTAAAATTTTGCTAAAACACCCCAACCATATAAAATTTTAATTTGTAGCAAAATCACCCCCACTAACCCCAAGCCACTGTCGGCAGCCAACCACCACTACCGTCCGCCTTCAGTAGTCGACGGAATGGCGCACGACTTACCATATATGACCGGCCGTGCGCTGACAAAGCCATTTTTGGCCATGGATCACAAATTCATGGTGGTTTCACGGCCAGATCTATGGCCATTTCACAGCCAAAGATGTGGCTGTGAAAAGCCCAGATCTTTAGTCGTGAAATGCCATAGAAACGGTCGGAAAAGGCCTTACCGGCGTACGACCGGCCAAATCCCACCAATCATGCACCATTATAGTGACTGACACCGGTGGCTGACGGTGGTAAGTAAAAGCCGATGGCGGTCTTGAGTGGCTAGGGGTATTTTGTTAACTTTTAAATTTTTTTGTGGTTGGGGTGTTTTAACTAATTTCTCAAATGTAAGGGGCTGTGCTAATTGTTATTTGGTAGACATTTGAGGATAATTATATTCAAAATGGTATTTAATTAAGGGTAAAATAGGTATAAAAATTAGCTTACCTCGGTAATGTTTTAATCCCAACGGTGGGGGAGGGTATCAGATTATCCCCCACATTACTAACGGTAAACACTATTTACGATAAAAATTCCCATAATATTTTATTACTTGTAAACCAAATACCGAAATTTTATAAAATAAATAAAGATTACCCTCATTATCTTATATGTTCCGGTCCAATCGCACTAGTACAATGCATTTCACCCTTTTTTTTCTTTTTTTTCGAAGTCCTACCAAACAAGTCCGGCTATTTAATAGTGTTTTAACATCTTCAAATGCTTCGTTTTGAAGTTAATAGATAAGAGAAAAAGGATATTTATCATTAATTGTAGTGTCCTTTTTCTTAACTAAAAACCATGTTGTTTAATGACCTTTTCACTAAAATTAAAATAAGCTTGCACAAGATAAACCAACGGTGGGAAAAATAAAAATAAAAAACTGCTGGCTGTGGGGTTCGAACCCACGCGCACTTATGTGCAGAAGATCTTAAGTCTTCCCCCTTAACCTCTCGGGCAAACCAGCTCGATGAATTAAGGGGATCATAATAATTTTATTTATAGAAAATGATTCTCATGAAGGGCACAACGGTTTCTTGCACTCTTCTTCTTATTCTTTTGGCCTGGATGGTTCAATGGGATTGAAGATGCAACTACTACAATGCCATCCTCTTGTGCGGCAATCTATACAGCTACACTGCTTCAAGTATCTTTGAGTCTCCAGAACTATCGGCTCCTCATTCAGGTTCCTCATCCGTCCATCCCAACTCAATTCACGGTTGTTAAGTGATTCCAAAGTGCTTTTCTTATAATTAAGCTGCAACTCTTTGATTCTGTTCCACTCAGACATGAATGTATCAACCTGGTGTTTCAAAAATGCAATAAGAAGATGTTAAAGTAACCATAAGTCAAAGGCTCAGAACCCAAGCTCAACCTCTAGTAGAAATCAACACACCTCTCGGAGTGACAGTTCTTTAAGGCCTTTTACATCTTTCTTTTCTGCAAGTTCTTTGGCATTACTCATCACTGAAACGTATCTGTTATATCTGTTATTCTGAATTATGCGAGGAAGCAAAAACAAGGAATTGGAGATGTCACATATTTGGAAGAATACTAAACATAATACGACAGATTTTGTGTTACTTGCATTAGAGGCGCACACGTGAATGCTAAATAATAAATTGGGATTAAAACTATTACCGCCTCATTTTGAGCCTTTTCTAACATCAGTTCAAATTTAATGTACCGTTCCACTTGTCTCTGTTTCAGCTGTAAATTCGAAATTTGAACCATATTACAGTCTATATCTTTTTCTAGAGCCTTCAAATCTTGCTGAGCATGTCTGATTTTCTTGTGTATCGCTATAAGCTAAATTGAAATAGATAAAAATTTTAAGTTGATAAGAAAATTAACTAATAAATTCCCATTGAAATGAGGTTGCAGAAGTACTTGCAGTGGGAATCTTACTCCAAATTGGACTTGAATAGCTTTTCTTGAACCTAACGGGCTCCGAATTTCTCGGTTTTGAATAGCATATACAATAGCTTTCTTCCCCGCCCATTGAATCTGTTGGATCTCATTGAGGATCTTCTTGTCCCTATCTTTATTGTTGGTTTGGGATTGCATTGGGCGATACTTTAAAGTCCAATAAAACAAACAACAATTACATATAATGTAATCTAATAGATTTAACCAATTAGATCCACGCACAAACTAGGAATGCGACAACAAATAAATAAATAAATAATATATATATAAACATGAATAAATGTCTAACATTACCATATTACTGAATTCTCTAACCGGCGAAAATGAGTCAACAGCCTCACTCTGTTGGGTTTCCTTAATCTTTCTCAAGAGTTGCCTTTCTGTAGCCAAATTGTTGGTTTTGTGTCGCATCTGCATTTCAACCCCGCTCAGTCAATGTCAGTGCACGGTGCTGACCAAAAAAACAAATGCCAACCAAAGATTTGCAATAGTCACAAAAAGGAACAATTAAATTATTTTACTTGATTCAGTGTTCATCCTTACATGGCTAATAAGTTGTCTTGACGAGCATGAATTAATCTCCCCCCGTCTGTATGCATTTTTGGCAGAATTCAGAGCTTCTGTTTCTCTGTTATCTGTTAGCTGTATCCAGGACAGAGTTCGTCTGATTTCATCTTTCCTATAACTTAAATATTGGAGTTCTGAAACCACATGGGATCGCTTTAACTGTCCATAGATTCATCAGTACAATTAAATTCTGAGATGGTTCTTGCTATTTCATAAACTAGCACTTGAAATTTATGCTATCTATTTCAAGCATCACAAGGATCTTTCATCATGCATTTGAAGCTTACGTACCTGTTTTGTTCCGAGTTCCTCGTTTATAGAAAGTTGCTCTTGATTAATCTTTTTAAGCAGCTGTTTAACCTCTTCAATTCTGCATTTTACATTCTGATCTTCACACGGCCGGAACTTGATAAAGTAGAATTGATGAACTTTCTTCTCAACATATCCACTTGGTAAAAGGCCCTGATTGAGTTGTTTGTCAATCGCAATATCGTGCAAGTAACTGGTATCTTTTTCACTCTCAAAAATGCGAGAATTTTGCATAATTCGAGTTCCCATGACCTCCATAAACCGGTTTATGCTGAAAGCTAGTGATATTCTGCATACATGCGTCAATTTTTCATGAATCAAATAATTCAACACAGATTACAAGAAATGAATTACATTGGGAAACGTCTTAAAACAGTAGAGCGATCTTCAATCTTACCACCAAAGATGACTGAATGGATACTTAATTACAAAGAGAATAACGTGCATTATAAATAATATAAATTGACAGATGATAATCCATATAATAAACGAAGGAAAATGATAGAGTTACCGAAAAGTTTATACCGAATTTGTATACTAAATGACGAGACAAAATCCTGACCGTTGATTAATATTAACTGATAATAAATCAACGATCAGGATTTTACCACATCATTCGGTATACAAATTTAGTGTACATCCGTCAATAACTGTCGGCATTGCTCATAAACGAAATGATTCAAGGTCAATATCATTTGCACCCCACGGAAAGAAATTACAAGTCAACGCCTATCTCTATGATACCTTGTCCACAAATTCATGGTACTTTAGAATCAGAAATTTTTATAACTTGAGTCTTGCATGGGCCAAAAAAAGGTCTTAAGCCTTTATAGGCCTAGACACTAAGGCTCTGTTTGGTACAATATTGAGAAGTTAACACAAAATTTGTGTTTGGTATATCTATTTTCAAAATATAATTCTAAATTATTGAATTTCTTTTAAATTCTCTAAATTTATTAATTTAACTAAACAACCCCCAAAAAAAATTTAAAAATTGACAAAAACACCCCAACAACCCAAATTTATCAAATTTCGGCCACCACTGTCGAAAGCTACCTGGAATCTGGTGTGATTCAGCCGGTAGTGCGCCGATCTAGCCTTTTTCAATCAGATCTTTAGTCGCAGATAGTTGTCAATGACCAGATCTTTAGCCGTAGACAGTCGTCAACGACGGCCAAGATATGGTCTTCGTTGACCATCAACGATGACCGTATCTTTGGCCGTCGTTGATGACCAAATGCGGCCAGATCTAGCCATCAATGGCTAGATCTGGCCTTTTCCAACCAAATCCACAGTGGATTTGGCCGAAAAATGTCATATTGGCACACGACCAGCTAGATCCAGCCAGTCATGCGCCGATATGGCGACTCTGGCCACCCTCCGGCGGTGGTGGCTGGTTGTCTGTATTTAATGAGTGGGTTAGGGGTGTTTTTGTTAACTTTGAATATTTTATTATAGGAGTGTTTAGTAAATAAATAAACATAGAGGATATTTTTGTTAATTTTCAAAATTCTACATCGTAATACCCACTCAATTTAACTTTTTTCAAAATATTATTCTAAAAACTATCCAAGAATGAACCAAACGGAACCTAAAACATCTATCACATGGCCCAATACCATGACTCAATTCCGGTTGAGCCTACTTTAAAGATCCATGTCATGAGCCAACCCATCACACCGACCAAGCTTCTCATGAGTTGGATTACCCATATTGGGCCTCACCATTAGCCCACGTAGGCTCAAGCCCATTAGCCCATGGCAACTCCAAAGGGTCCCACTTAAATCCTAAATCATCTCCTTCCTATTTCATCAATATCCCAAATTCTCCCAAGAATTCCACCTTCATCCAAATTCATCCAAGATCTGAAATCTTATATGAATTAGGACTCTTACTCCTTGTAAATCAGGATTTTCCTATTTACTAGAACTCCGCAATTATGAACTGAGTGTTCTATTAAGATTCAAAGATCCTGTGTTCACTATATAAACAGAGATCTGACCTATCATTAGCATCCATTATTCAATACCACCTACTAGCTCCTAAAGTTCTTGCTCTTAAGAACTAGCACCTTCGCCATGGCTCTAATCTCCGATCAGACTCTGATAATCTTTCTTCCCCTTAGCCCTCACTAAATAACCTCTTTCAACGGTAACTTTTCCTCTCCTTTGCCCTCACTAAATAGCTTTTTTCAGTCTCGTTGACTTGAGCGTCAAAGTATCTACAGCAAACACCATACCGATGTTTTACGTAAGCTTCACGCTTGTTTCTTTGAGACAGATACCATACCAGTGTTTTACGTAAGCTTCACACTTTTTTTTTTTTTTTTTTTTTGTGCAAGTTCATCAGATCATAAGTGGCCTCAATCTCACAGGATCAGTCTGTTCTATAACCATATATTTTGACCGTCTAGAAGTTTCATCGCAAGCATTGACACCTATAGAATGGCAAAATTAAAAAATATCATATGGCTCAGTTTAAAGACACCCCAGTCATTTATGAGAGCACTCGCATTGTTTCTTACACAGACAGCTTAACTCATCCTCTTTTGGGAGGGAATACTCGGGCAAAGTGAACATCTCCCAAACCTCAGGTACACAGTGTAATTACAAATCCCTTTTGTAGTTTGTAAAATAATCCATAAAATAATTGATTTTGGTGATTAAGGTCTTCGCTAAGAAAGACAAATCGATAAAATTATTAATTTATTAGGTCTTTGAATATCCAATAATTCCAGTTTTGATAGCAAGCAAAATGGTGAACTTAAAAAGTATCATATTGTTCAAGGGTCATCATATTTTTCATAATGTATTTTGTTTTTATTTTTTCCTTCAATGTTGCCTCTTGAGAATAGAAAATGCAACTTATACAAATATATAATTACATTCTCTAGTATGCCAACTCATATTAGCGGTTTGATATGAGTTGGTTTTGCTTCCTTGTCGAGGTTTCTAATTCGTCCATCCTGGAATTGGCGCTTTTCAAGAGATTGCATGACGCTTTTCTCATAATTACACCTAAAATCTTTGCTTTGGTTCCACTTGGACATGAATATATGTACCTGCAGATTTTGTGACAAGAATTAAATATCAATTTGTAAGAAGATACTAATATGGAAAATTGAAGAGTGTAATTTTATGCAATCAAATCTATTAATATTGGACAAACCTCTCGGATAGACAATTCCTTAAGGGCTTTCACATCTGGCTTTCTTGCAAGTTCTCTGGCATTCTTCAAGACTGAAGCATGTCTGTGGTAATCGGATCTCTAAATTTATGAAGCAGCAAATATAATATTAGAAAAGATATAGTTGGATACAATAACCGATCTATTATAAGAAATTAGCTGGTACCGAGCCATGTTCGATCCATTGAGTAGAACTTAAAGTTTGCACTTGTTAATTTTAAGCTTTCAGATTAAGAAATTATTTATTATAATAATATGGAAGACAAGTTGATCAATTGTGCTTGAATGAGATCTTAAATATATAAGTAATATGTTATGAGGTTAATCACAAGGAAATTATGTTTAAAGAACGATGAAGTCATTTTTCTTTACATTTTGCTGTTATGCATCTTCTTTTCTCCATATTTGTATATGCTCCCAGTTAATTTCTTCTATTGCCATAAGTTAACTCGTCTATTATTTCACGTGAAATGTATTAAACATAATTTAAGTTCCAAATACCTCCCAGAGGATAGGCTCTAGAGTCTAGACTATAGCTTCAGATGTCATTTATATTACTGCCAATTAACACATTGATTTTAGGCCTTTTATTATATAAAAATATAGAAAGGAATCAAATCGGTCTAATATAATATGCCATGAAAGATTGGTTTTGTAGATGTTAAATTTTTGATATAGTTATGAATGTATGATGATCGGAAGTGCTCGAGTCAGTTTACGTGTACCTTAATTAAACTCTCAGAATCCTATAATTGTTGATCGAATAAGAGTCCTAATGGATACCTGTGTCTAAGTCAGCTTGCATGTATCTCAACTAAACTTTTGAAATTGTCGACCGGGTAAAAATCCCAATAAGCACTTCTACCAGTGTTTGGGGGAACTTGAACTTTGAAGTTGTTGATGCATGATTTTGACACCAACTAAACGCACGTGAGAAATGCTGAGCTGACTTAGAAGACACACGTGTATGGGGGTATTGAACTGAATAATAGATAGAGAACAATGTTTAAAGTGGTTCAGATGCTTAAGTAAGCGAATCCTACGTCCACTGGTATTGTATTAATATATGAGACCAGGTTGCGTTCAGTGAGCTGACTTACGAGAGATTACAAGAGAGAGAGAGAGAGAGTATATATGCTATTCTAGGGAGAAATTAGCTAATCCCACAAACGGGAGAAAAACCCTTTATTTTTAGTAGGATGAGTTAAGGTAATGATTATTGAATCTGTGAGTGGGTCAGATTGCTGTGCAAATCCTTCCTTGCGTCCCGTTGTTCACCTGCTCAAGTGATTTACTTGACGTGTGCAGGGATTGGACACGTGGATCGTCTCCAGCCTTTCAGTCTGGCGCACACCCACTGCACTGGTAGGAGCATGCCACTTGCGTCAGCGTGCGACGTGGCTGCGTCTGAATGGCTACAAGACTTACCTAAGCTCTGACCGCTTACGCTGACAGGGCTCTACGTCAACTCTACTTTTTCACGCATAACAGAAGTCCCTTAGTTTTTAAGGTTTGAGAATTGAACCTTGGAAACTACATATTATGCCTTGATTTGATGCTTGAAGAGATACTGGTCGATCCGACCTGGTTGCAAAGAGGTTGAGGAAACATTTCCATGCAGGCGACCTGAAATGACTTACTTTAAGAGTTAGCGACCTATTCTTAGACCATATTCAGTGCCATAACGATGACTCTGGTCTTTATCCGAGGTTCACGACCTGATTGTACTTAGTGAAAATTTTGCCGAAGGCAAGGGATCACGTCGCTTCGCAACTGATATACGTCGGGGTTGAAGGGTCACGTCGCCTCGCGACTGACATAAGACGATCCAAGAATCACGTCGCTTTGTGACTGACATAAGACGAAGAGTGTTTTATATAACGACCTCTTCAGATGTTATCCGTTGCACTTTCGTAGCTGATACATTTAATGAAATACCTTTTGCTTTGATAGACGTGTCCTGTGCGCAATAAGTGCCAGCCATGCGCATTAAATGGGAGCCATGCTGAAACGATATTCCCTATCAGAGCATTAAATGCAGATGTGGGTGCATTTAATATGGAGAAGGGAAACCTGCAGTCGCTTGAGCGTTTCAACAGAAAAGAATGACGATTTGGTTTCTCGAAGCGTGACGGTCACTCTTCTTTGCTGATCTATGACACGTGGTTGCGATCAA